ACTTCAATTGGTCCAGCGGGCAGCAGCCAGGATGCTAACTGGGGCTCATTTTCAAGAGAGGTCTACCCCTCTGTTTAAGGAGCTCCACTGGCTGCCATTTATTTTCCGAGCCCAATTCAAGGTGCAGGTGCTCACCTACAAAGCCCTGAACGGTTTGGGACCACCCTACCTGCGTGACCGCATCTCCATCTATGAACCCACACGCTCGCTCCGGTCATCTGGGGAGGCCCTGCTCATGATCCCACTCACGTCGCAAGCGCGCTTGGTAGGGACACGGGACAGGGCCTTCTCTGTGGCGGCCCCCCAACTCTGGAATGCCCTTCCAAAAGATCTTCGACAGGCCCCTACTTTAGCAGCTTTCAGAAAGAACCTAAAAACTTGGCTGTTCCGATGTGCCTTCTCAGATTAGGAATCCCCCATCCCAAGTCCTAGAAGCACTTTAGTACAATCAATATTACTGCACACCGCACTATTTTAATCCTACGTTCCTCCTGCCATTTCAGCACTTTAACCCCTGTACCCCATTGCGCTGGCCGAACCAGTTTTAATAGTGTCTTGATGTAGTTATTGTTGTTATTTTGCTTAATTGTTTTGATTTGCTTTGTTTATTGTTGTGTTTTGCTGTATTGTTGTTCTGTGGCTTCGGCCTGTTGTAAGCCGCATCGAGTCCCTTGGAAGATGCTAGCGGGGTACAAATAAAGTTATAATAATAATAATAATAATAATAATAATAATAATAAGGCCAAAACATCTGGGGACCCACAAGTTGAGAACCACTGCTCTAGACTGTATTGGACTGGTATTTCCATGACCTTTGGTAGCACAACCTATGGTGAAGAATGTTGGGTATTTTAGCCCAACAACATTTGGAGGATAGCATTTTGCCACCATAAGAACTATGCCCATGAAAGGAAGGAGATTCTGGGAGTAAATAAACTTCCAAGGTTCTGGTAGAGCAGTGGTGTAACCAGCTTTAAGGAAGCGGTAGGTGTGCCATATCCTTTCTAAACCCAAGTTGCTGGCTTTCAATTGAGTTAATTTTTGGGCTGTGCCCAAACACTGGTGCAAGACTGCTTCCTTGAAACTCTACTTCACTCTGGAATTGCTAGTTTTCCATACTGAACCTTGTTAGCTCTCAGACATCCAACAGAGAACCTGTGGATCTCACTTGGCAATATAGGTTCTTCAGTCATGTAAGGTTGGCTGTAATAATTACCTTCTTGGCAGGCTGCATTTCCTCTGTGGATTTGGATCGAGCTTTCACTACATGCTTCTGAGGGGAGCTGGACTGTTCCTGTGATATAGGAAAGATGGATCAGGTGGAGGAAATATGCCTCTAAAAATCCTTGGAAGTTTTTGCAATCCCCAGGTTGGTGCTGCCACTTCAGAGACAGATGTGAGGAATCATAGAAGTACTTCATTCACATACATAGCTAGTAATGGAGCACACACATCTGTAAAGCAGGATCCCATCTCACTGCAGTCTATATCTGTATTATCTCTTTATCACGATGATAGGTCTGTGAAATGAGCCATGTTCAAAATCATAACATACTGGCAAAAGATACCATTGCAGGGAAGCACTTCCTATACTCCTGCCTGGGATATAGGCATGGGACCAGGACTGGTCTGGGTGCAGGGACATTTCAAGAGGGAATCAAGGGTACTGCTTCACTAAATATGGTCCACCTACCACTAGATAACACCTAGCACTTCATTTTAGGAATCAGTAGACACTAACAGGTAATGAATATGGCAAAGGTGAGAATCATTTAGCCATACATATGCTGTTGGGCTGCTACTCCCAGCACTCCTCACCAGTAGCTATGCTAGTTGAGCTGATGGGATTCCAATCCAACATCATCTGAAGGGCCACATTATTCTCAATCCTGCTGTGGTTACATCAGCACATGTAGTCAGTTCAAAAAGTAATCCTTCCAAGCTCTACTCCTAATGACACTGAATAAATTCACCCTTGGGAAAAGTTGAGGTTCAGTGTCCTGATATTATTGCATGCCTTTTCCTTTGAGATGCTGAGCATATATACCGGGGGGGGGGGGGGGGGGGGCATAATCACTGGGGATGGAAAGTGGCTCTCTGGATATTTTTGGGGTGCAATTTCCTGCAGTCTTAGCCAGCATGGTCAAAGCTGTGAGATCATGGGAGGGCTCCAACCCAACAAGCTCATGAACTTGATGCTCCCCAGTGTGATATTTTTCCTCACATACCTTTGAGTTCTGCTCCATGGCTCCTTCCTGGTGAGTAATTCTGAGATCTCACTTTGGCCAGACGATTCTGCAAGAAGATGCACATCTAAGAAACTACCAGTCATATCCACCCCCTTCTCTCTTAGGACCCAGGATACTTATATGGGTAATCTTGTGGTGAATAGTAGTGCTAACATCAAAGAAAATATGGATTAAATGCCTTGTCTTTCCAGTAACGGCATGTGGCAGATTGTATGAAGGCTGCTATACGAAAGAAAAGTAGTTGATTCTTCCCCCTCCATTGCCCCCTCACTTTTCCCTTCAAAAGTAGCATCCTTGAAGGGGAATCTATCCTTCTGATAACAACATATGGAGTCTATTCTATCACGTATACCTTCTTCTTCTCTACAGGAAACATATTCAAGGGTGGCCATGCAGCAAAATCCAACAACATCTTCAAAAGAGTGATACGTTTTTGGTCAACAAAACAGAGACAACACACCATGCAAGTTTTTGAAACTTCACTGGTTCTTCATCAGACAGAGATGGTAAAGTCATACAGTGGAAGAAAAGTGACAATTTTAGAGCCACGGGCCTACATTTTGTCTCAGACGTTACTCTGTTGTCAGTAAATATGGTCTAGAGCAGTGTTTCTCAAACTCGGCTGCTCCAGATGTTTTGGACTTCAGCTCCCAGAAATCCCAGCTGTTATGAAATGTGGGAGCTGGAGTCCAAAACATCTGGAGGAGCAGAGTTTGGGAAACACTGGTATAGAGGGACATCTCCTGAAGTCCCTGTAAAGTTACATCTGGGGGGGGGGGGGCAGATGCTGTGTAGGCAAAACTTTCCAACTGTAGTCAAAATGAAAGAGTTTTACTTTTGTTGGAGGTAAAAGTCTCAAAACAATTAAATTCCAATCCATTAGTTTTCTCTTGTTAAACTTCCCCCTGCTGTTCTCTGGGTAAGTTTATTCTCTGCATAAGAATGGGCCAGTTGGTTTCACATAGGACGGGGACAACCTGGATCTCCCAGGAAGTTACTTTTCTGTTGCTAATGAAGTTGAAATGTCACTACCTGACTTTAATTGTTCTTTGTCCTTGGTCCTCACATGGCCATGAAGGGGACTGGCCTCTGCCTGCATTGAGAATCCAGCATATACGTATATCTCGTTTGCTGTGACATACTGTATTTTTGTGTCAGTAAAATAATAATAATAATAATAATAATAATAATAATAATAATCCTAAACACTTGGGAAATGTTTTACTTGTGATTTTGTGATACGAAATCCAGCACATATATCTTGTTTGCTGTGTCATACTGTGTTTTGTGTCAGTAAAATAATAATAATATATTTTATTTATATTTTACTCTTTTTTCTCCCAGGTATACTCAGGGCAGTAAACATATACGGCAAACATTCAATGCCGTTATACAATTAACAAGGATAGACAATACATAAACAGAGGTAAAGGCTTTCCTGTCTTTTTCCATTTCCAGCATCTTAAACCTTTCTACTGACAATCTCTTTTGGCCTGATTTTTTTTTTTTACATAATTCTGGGTATTTGTGCAGTGTTTACAGTTGACTTTGCAGAAAATGATTCATCTGTTCTCCACAAGAAGGAAAATTGGGCTGTTAAGCAACTCTGGCAAATGCTGATTTATTATCAGTAAATGTTTGGGTTTTAGGACTTCAACTCCCAGAATTTCTGATCGCTGACAGTTGAAGCTTCTAGGAGTTGAGGTCCAAAAATCTGGAGGACTAACATTTGGGAATCACTGCCAGACAATTTTAACTGAAAACAGAAGCAACATCTATGACAAAATCTGGACCCGTGGCTCTAACTTTTTTTCTCCTTCTATACGTTTGTTAATATTTTTGTCTGACGAAGAAGTCAGTAATGCTTCAAAAGCTTGCATGAGGTATTTTCTGCAATTTAAATAGCCAATAAAGGTATCAATCTTTTGTGCATTTTGTTGTATAATATTTATCTACAGGTGGTTCCTCAAGTTCTTGTTGGTTGGCACAAATCTCTTTCCCTCTAATAGCCTGACCCCATGCAACAGGGCTTATCTTGTGATTTCTTCTAATACCAGCCAATTCCTCAGCAAGACACAGGAGTCATGTTAGGAAGCCTGTTCATGGGCAAGGAGGGCAAAACAGAGTAAGGGGTGGAAAATGGAATTTGCCAGAGGCAGGGAGCTTTTAAGTGTGTCACTCACCTACAAAATTAGGCTCCTAGAAATTAAGGCCCCTTCTACACTGCCTTATATCCCAGGATCCGATCCCAGATTATCTGATTTAAATTGGATTGTATGACTCTCCACTGTCAGATAATCTGGGATAAGAAGATAATCAGGGATTGGATCCTGGGATATTGGAGCAGTGTGGAAGAGGCCCAGGTGTCCTAGAAACTGGTTCCAGTCTGCCCAGGACTGGGATGTCCTGGGCAGACAGGACATCCCAAACATATGTATTTATTTATTACTAAGCATTTTATTTGATGTTATTGTTTTGTTTATATGTATTTTTGCTATATTGTAATTCCTTTGGGCTTGGCCTCATGTTAGCTGCTCTGAGTCCCTTCGGGGAGATAGTGGAGGAGTATAAATAAAGTTTATTGTTGTCATTATTTATTTATTTATTTATTTACTATGTTTATATACCTCCTTCCTCACCCCTGGGGGGACTCAAGGCAGTTTACAACATATTAATGGCAAACATTCAATGCCAACATACATGTAAAAAGAAAAATCATAATAACTAAACACTAACATATGCAGTAAAATCATTAAAACCATTAACAACATTTAAGCAAAGTTTTAAAACATGTTAATATAAATATTAAAATCACATGAGCCAAAAATTGTACACCGTAGCCATTCTGATTGAATATAAATATTAACATCACATGATCAGAGAACCATACACCATAGCCATTCCGATTCTCATTGCGCATATTTCCTAATTAGTCTCCAACCGACTATCCAACCAACCCAGTTGAAGAGTACTGGAGAGTTGAGGCACTTGGGGTGCATCTACTGTTGAACTAATGCAATTGGACACCACTTTAACTGGCATGGGTCAATGCAATGGCATCATAGAATTTATAGTTTGGAGATGCACCAGCAGTTGTTGGCAGAGAAGGCTGAAGATGTAAAACCAAAACTCCCATGATTCTATAGCATTGAGCCTAGAGGTTAAGGCGGTTTCAAACTTCAATAGTGTAAATCAGGTATGAACAACCTTGGGCCTTCCAGGTGTTTTGGACTCCAACTCCCACCATTCCTAACAGCCTCAAGCCGTTTCCTTTCCCCCCTCAGCTGCTTAAGCGGCTGGGGGGGGGGGAGGAAGGGGCCTGAGGCTGTTGGGAATGATGGGAGTTGGAGTCCAAAACACCTGTAGGGCCCAAGTTTGCCCATGCCTGGTGTAGATGGGCCATTAGAGCCAGGGTCCAAGCCATCCTCAATGTAGTCCAGTCCAGTCCAGTCCCGCCCTGCGCCACAGCGCCCCCTGGCGCCCAGTGAAGGAAGAAGGGTGCTCCCACTGAGCTCCTTGGCAGGGCGAGCGAGGCGGGAGACCCCTACTCAGACGGGGAGGAAGGCGCCTCGCTCCCTCCCTCCCTCCTTCCCCCTCCCCTCTGGCAGGCGCCCCTCCTCCTGGGCGGCTTACCTGGCTGCCGGTGGGGGTCTCTCGGTGGCGCCTGCCTTCCGTCCAGGATCGCAGCAGCAGCCTGTGCCGGCTCCGCTCCCTTCCCGGCGCCCACTCCCATTCAGGCGGCGAGGGGCTGGGACATGCGGCCGGGGGCAGCCAATGAGCGCGCAGCCGCTGCCTCCTCCTCAGCCGTGCTTTGCATGCCAGGCAGCGGCGGCGGGGATGGATCCCGAGCCGGGGAGGGGGCAGCAGGGGCGGCCAACCCCACCCAACCCCACCCTACCCTCCTTTCCTCTTCCCAGCAGATCCCTAAACAAACGATAGGGAGGGAAGGGGGTCTAGAGGTCGCAGGGTTTGAGGGGCAGCACTCAATTGACGTTGAGGTCAGCAGAACTTCTATCCCTGCAACAGCTCTGATGGTAGAACTTCCCTGCCTATAGGACACACCTGTATCTACTTTACTTATTCATTTGGAAGGGAGGTCCACAATTGTACTCAAGTTGTTGTTGATTGATTCCAAGTCGTTACCCATTCATAACAACCTTATCCCAGGGAGTTTTGGAGAGCCAGGAAGGGCAACTTGCCCAGGCTCTTCTGATGGGTTTTCATGGCCAAGCAGGGATTCAAACAGTGGCCTCCTGAGCCCAGCAGATAAAGCACTACACCAGGCTGTTTTGTGAATGGGAGATCTCCTACATCAGTGGTTCTCAACCTGTGGGTTCCCAGGTGTTTTGGCCTACAAGTCCCAGAAATGCCAGCCGGTTTACCAACTGTTAGGATTTTTGGGTGTTGAGGCCAAAACATCTGGAGACCCACAGGTTGGGAATCACTGTCCTAAAAGTCAATGGTCTTGCTTGAGTCCAGTTAACCCAGGTTAACCCAGTTAACCCAGCCTGAACACTGTTTCATCCTAAATATCTCGGTGTCATCTTAGATTGAACACTACCATATAGGAAACACTGCTTGAACAACAAACACAAAGTAGCTGCACAAAATAACATCCTGCAGAAACTTACTGGTAGCACATGGGGTGCAGACCCAAAATTAGTAAGAACATCAGCCGTAGCCTTTTCTTACTCAACTGCCGGGTATGCCTGCCCTGTTTGGCATAAGTCTGCCCATGCAAAGCAGGTGAACATAGCATTGAATGAAATATGCAGAATAATCACAGGATGTCTTAAACCTACACCTGTTGATAAACTCTACAAGCTAGCTGGCATTGCCCCCCCCCCCCGACGTGTGACGGGAAGTTGCTGCTAAATGTGAGAGAAATAAGGTTGAACACTGTGAAAGCCACCCACGGCATGGCTACCAGCCTCCTCCCAGAAGACTCAAATCAAAGAAAAACTTTATGAGAATTACCACTCCTCTTGGCGTCCCCCCAACAACAGCAAAGGTATTCCTCTGGGCAGCTAAACCAGGAAATCCCAACTGGATGACCCCTCACGAGGGGCTTCCTCCAGGGGCAAACCAAGAATGGGCAACTTAGAAGTCCCTGAACAGACTCAGAAGTTGAGTAGGCAGATCAAAAGACAACCTCGCAAAATGGCACTACCTAAAAGAATCCCACACCTTGTGTGATTGTGGAGCAGAACAGACAACTCCACATCTTTATGTTTCTCCACTATGCCCTGACTCATGTACAGAAGAAGAATTGTTGGAGGCTACAGACAATGCCATTGCTGTTGCCCGTTTTTGGTCAAAAGACATTTAGCCACCTGTGCTCCTTCTATTTTTATCAGTTTTATACTAATTTATGCAATGCTTTTGATACGAAATAAATAAATAACTCAGGTAATTGAGGATTACCTGGTAAGGAATCCCACTGGAGCATTGCAGTACACCCAAATACCTGGGAGTTACCTTGGACCATGCTGTGACCTACAAGAAGCAAAAAGTGCTAGAAACAATATCATATGAAAGCTAACTGGCACAACCTGGAGATCACAACCAGATACAGACATCTTCCCTTGCGCTTTGCTACTCTGCTGCTGAGTACGCAAGCCCAGTGTGGAATACATCTCACCACGTTAAAACAGTGGATGTGGCACTTAATGAGACATGCCGCATTATCACAGGATGTCTACACCCTACACAACTGGAGAAATTATACTGTTTAGCCAGTACTGCACCACCTGACATCTGCCGGGAAGTAGCAACCAATAGTGAAAGGACCAAGGCAGTGACATCTCTGGCCCACCCCCTGTTCAGATATCAGCCAGCACCCTAATGCCTTAAATCAAGAAATAGTTTTCTAAGATATTCAGAGAGACTCTCAGGAACACCTCAGCAAGCAGGAGTCCAAAAGTGCAGGCTAAAACCCGAAACCTCAACCCATGGCTGATCCTGGAGGAGAGACTCCCTCCTGGGCACACAGAAGACTGGGCGACTTGGAAGGCACTGAACAGACTGTGCTCTGGCACCACGAGATGCAGAGTCAACGTTAAGAAATGGGGCCACAAAGTGGAGTCCATGACATGCGAGTGTGGAGAAGAGCAAACCACAGACCACCTACTGCAATGCAACCTGGGCCCTGCCACATGCACAATGGAGGACCTTCTTATAGCAACACCAAAGGCACTCCAAGTGGCCAACTATTGGTCAAAGGACATTTAGTATAATGCCAAATTTTTAAACTTTGTTTGTGTTTTTAAATACATTACAACTGTACCCTCAGTTTGCTTCTGATAGGATAAATAGCTAACCCAGGTCTGTGGCTTCCTTGCTTGGATCTATCTGTTTGTAACGCATGTCTGCCTTGTTTCTTACTGCCTTGCATTTAACCAAAGATTTTCACAGTCCAACAATGTTTTTCTTGGTGTCTTGGCTTTAGGCCGGTTTCTGGGATTGTTTTGAGGCACTGTTTCAGAAAATGGTATTGGATAGACTGCATCAGCTCTAGTTTCTCATATATAGTTATCATAGTAGTATATGTTGTGGTATATGTTCTCTTTCACAAAAACTAGACCTGGTAAGGGAAAAATGGTGCCATTTTTGGAATCAGCATGCCAAATATACCCAGAAACAGGACTAACATTTGAGGTACCAAAATATGTTGGCCAGTCTTATCATCTCTCTGGATACAGCCAAAGTATAACAGATTTAACTCCATCATCTTTGCTTATAGTGAGTGCTCGGGCTTAATTTGCTCTTTCTATCTTTTGCAGCCATGCAGCCATTGGGAGTAAGATAATATGAAGGATCCTTGCTGTGTCATTCAGTTTTTGGGGGGAGTGGAGGGGGCTCCCAGCTGCCATGAGCCTGCATGCTCTGTTTAGCAAAGCTTGCAACCTCCAGGTCTCACACTGAGCTTGATGGATGAGGCGCACTTACCTACTGATGTGCATAGGAATGCACATGCCCATCCTGGACCACTGAAAATAGATTGGACTCCTAAAGATAGAACAGTGAGAGTCTCTATTCCCCCTTCTCCCCAGTCATCAGCCTCGGTCTCTCTCAAAGGTGGCCAGTGAGTCATGCCATAGACAAAGCACTGGGTGTGGAAGGATGAGCTAAGCTCATATTTTGCTGCCTGAAACAAAACAAACAAACAAAACTCCCCAAAGCTAGTTAAGTTAATTTTTTGTTTCCAAGGTTTATAATCTCACCAACATCTCTTCTTCTACCTGGTTGCTAAAAACACAACAGCAAGAACAACTTCCATGACACCCAAAATTTGCTACCTAATGACAGTTCCACAATCCCTAGGGAATAGAGGTAGTCCTGGATGATGGAGACCTTCATATTAAGAGGAAGTGTTGATTCCCAAAGTGTTTTGTTTTCCTGAGCGAACAATTTCTCATCTCCCACCCCCCACACAACCCACACAGACATACAGAGGCTCTGGGCATGTTCGCCAGTGTATTTTACATATTACAAAGACTAAAAATTACAAACTATGTACAGCATTGTCATCACTGCAGCCACAAGACATGGTCGACTGTTGGCAGTTGTTTTACAACACAGAGCAGTAGTGTGGTATAGCAAGTGTGCAACACAGGTGGTTTCCTGCCCAGCCAGCATGGGCAGTTCCAAGAAACTGAGAGAGTGCATCAAAACACTTAGGAGTTCAAATTTCCAGTCCTGGAAGACAGAATTGGGTAGGTGAAGGGACGTCCTCAGAGGTGGGCATAGGTCCTTGCTGACCCTCATCCTTAATCCTACAGCAGAAGGAATATGGTGTATGGGGCAGATCATGATATCACAACAGATAGTGAACAGGAAGGACTAGGCCTTCTTGCAAGGAACATGGGATACACTGGGCAGGATTGTTGTGCAAAGGTCGGAAATTTCACTTCTCAGACTATAACTCCCAAGAATCTCCCTTTGCTGGGGGTAGATAAGCCTGGGAGCTGTAGTCAACAACGTGTCTTTTCCAAGCCCTGTCTTTAGAGGAGGCTAGGCTGGGGTTGTGTCCACAGAGTAGATCATATGGCTGAAGGTTTCCCATAAGCACTTGATGTTGATAGACTTCGTGTTTGCAGCTTTGGTGGGGGAGCCGCCTGGGGTTGTGGAAGTTGCTCTTTGGCCTGGCAAGTGGTGGCCTCTGGTGTGTCAGGAACAGGGCTGGGTAAAGAATGTTTTTTGCAGGAGGCACTGTCTTGTTCAGGCTTCTGGAGAAAGTCTGGCACTACTAGATCTTCTTTGGACAGTAGTCCACGTTGGTCATCAACTCTGGTATTCTGGACTCGGTTCAGCAGATCCACTAGCCCTAGCGGGTGGGATAAAAGGTGGTCGGTCAAAAAAGTTGATTTGATAACTTACTGGAAATTATTTTACACTCTAACTCTCCAAACAAACTTCACCATTTAGTGTTTTTCTATAGTTATTAATGTGACTTATCTGCACATCAAAACTCTCTATTTATTACCTGTTTATTATGCTGTGCAACAAGACTTCCTATTGGTGATACTTATTTCCTTCAGAGATTCTTGGAACGCCTCAGAGAAAAAACTACAATTCCCAGCATTCTTTGGGGAGAGGGAACTACTATCTATCTAGCTATCTAGCTATATATCTATATCTATATCTATATAGGTTTTCCCCTGACATTAAGTTGGGGCTCATCTCCATTTCTAGGCCAGAGAGCCGGTGTTGTCCGTAGACAGTCGTTACCTTTCCGCCAGAGCAGTACCTATTAATCTACTCACATTTGCATGTTTTTGAATTGCTAGGTTGGCAGAAGTTGGGGCTAACAGCAGGAGCTCACCCTGCTCCCCAGATTCAAACTGGCAACCTTTCAGTCAGCAAGTTCAACAGCTCAGTGGTTTAACCCACTATGCCACTGGAGGCTCCATATATATGAATGCAACTCTATACATACTTACCTGTAAGTAAGTCTCACTTAACCCAATGGGCTTACTTCTGAGAAGCCTTGCATAGGATTGTGTGGTATGACATTTATATAACTATGTCCCATCTACCTTCAACTGCCTCTTTACATAGTTTATTACTTTCTTTGCTGCATGAAGTTGGGGATCATCTGTTTATTCATTTTCCCTTCTATTTCTATTCTTATTTCTTTGCCATCTGTCATTCTGCAACCAAAAAGCCATTGTAGCATAATGGTTAGAACAGGGGAAGTTGACCTGGCACCTACTAGATGGTTTGGGCTCAAACTTCCATAGTCTGTGGTCATTTTGTAAAGTGCTTACACTAACAATAGCCCAAAATATCTAAAAGGTACTATATTGCTTATATCTTGATTCGACTGTTAGGTTAAGACTGGAAATCCGGGTTCCAATCCCAACTCAGCCACGAACTTAATTGCTCGTGGCCCCATCATGAGTTTGGTCACTGTTTTGCAGATAAACAATGCTGTTTATCTGTATTTGTTTTGTAGGCCATCATGGGATAAGAATGGAGTGAAAGTACTCTGTATAATACTCTGGGTTTCTTGTATAAAGAACATTATTGTAAATAAATGCCTAAATAATCCTTCGCTATTCACCCTTCCTTTTCAATGATAGTCCTCCTTCAGATACAGAGCTCTGACGAACAGGGATAAGAACATGAAGTTAAGGAACTTGGAAATGTCATAGATGAGTCTTCTCCTCTCTTAATAACTTGCTTTCTCCATGTTGATTGCTTCATTTCTGAACTCTCCCCCCAACATGAAAAAATAATATGGGCAGAGGTGGGTGAGGAGTGAAAAATATTCACCATCTCACACTAGAGCATTTTGCAAAACCACCCTTCTGGCATCTGATGCTTCACCAGGTGGTGCACGTGTAGTCTGAAGACTCTCTTTGTACCCACAAGGATTGGGAAAAATTAAAGGGGAGTTTACTTTCTCGGCGTAATGAATTATATCTTGAGTTCATCACACTTTGACATTAATGGGGGGCTAGGGGGCTGCACTGCTGGAGACTTATTTATGCCACCATACTTTGAACTGCCTACTTTCACTTCAAGATATTCCTGGTCTATTCCCTCTGTTTATTTGTGAAAATCAACCTGGTCGCTCACTATCACCCTCTCTAATCAAGTTAATATAACTGTGAATAATTTTATTAGAGACAGCACATAATGATTCGTAACTGAATTTTTTGTTTGATCAAATTCTGTAGAATATGTAGTGACACAAGGAAATTCTTCAGCATATGTTATGTGCCAAGAGTTTGCAAAAAGCCTTTCATTTAAGACCTTCTGGGAAGGCCCTGCTCTCGGTCCCACCTCCTTTGCAGGTGCAGTTGGTGGGAACAAGAGACAGGGCCTCCCCATCAAAATTAGAGCAGCCCCCTCCCTCCTGACCTTCAGTAAGAAAGTAAAAACATGGTTATGTGACCAAGGTTTTGGATAGCAACTTTTAGTGCAATAAGAGAATAAGGAACAGTGAAATGACAAATGGAACAGCCTTGGATTATGATTTTAGATAGTATGATCTTAATAATTAGTTTTAACATTGATTTGTTTTAATGTTTTGATTTTAATGTAATTTTTATTTTACTGTATGTATGTTTATGGCATCGAATTGCTGCCTATCTGTAAGGCTGCTCTGAAAAATAAATACATTTATCCAGGCTGTGGATGGCCCTACAACAGAGCAGCCACATGTGATGGAAAGGAGTCAGGTCACAGATAACTTTTTGATCAAACTGTTTGCTCTATAAAATGTGCACCCACCAAGACAGATGATCACTGAAATGATCAAAAGTGGAGCACACAAGCTTTGATGAGGAGGGATTCAAAAGCACTTTGCAATAGCTGGATCATGCCCAATAATTCTAACTACATTTATTCATATGAATTAGTATGTAAAAATATATGAATACATCTTCCTTCAAGATGAAAACTAACATAGTTTTGCTTTGTTCCTGAGGAGCACACTGCGCATTTGTCACAGGTAATCAACATCCCCTTCGCCTTGGGTATGTAAGCGGGCTCCAAGTAACATTGCTTACCTTCCAAGTCATATGTGCGGCGATTCTGGTTGCTCCTGGCAGGTTTGGCAAAGGAAGTGGACATCTCTGGGAGTGGTTCAGACTCAGATTCCATCTCTGCACAGCTGTCATCCTGGCACCATTGTGAGAGAAAGCATGATTTGAGCCAGATCCAGAAAATGATATTTTTCCCAAGGCAGTTAGAAATCTTTTTTTTTTTACATTCCTGAAGACTTTGTAGTGATTTTTTTAAAAAAAAGAACACATAAAATTAGTCCATGTTTTTGAGGAAGAACTGGTATATCTTCTTTTTTCCACCCTGCGTTTTTTGCAATCAGAATTAGGATCAGGGCAAAATGAGGGTGAGGGATGGGCACATCAGGAGATCCGGATGTATCTACATGGTAGCCTGGAAAGAATAGCACCATTTTCTTCCTCTGCACTCTGAATTTATGCAAAACATGGGATTTATTTATTTATTTTACTTTTGAATAGCATGATAATGGCAGTGCTCTCATGCAGCAAGTACTTCAAACTACATACCTGGGAATAAGCACTACTGAACTGAATGGGACTTACTTCTGAACAGACCTGTCTAAGATTGGGTCCTGGGAGTATGCCAGGAATGAATAAAAACACTGTAGCTGCTGCAATCTTGTTAGCTGTCTTATGACAGGATATAAACTGATGTGGTAGTGACATTTACACAGTAAAAACATTCCCTCACATGTACTCATGTAATCACATGTACTCATGCGATTACATGATTGAAGCCCCGTATACCATCATTCCAAACTGACTTCAAATTGATTAAAACAGGTATGTGTGATAGTAAAAGAGTCAAATGGGGGCAGGATATGATACAGTGGAATCAGGATACAGCCCTTATATAGATTCAGCTATAGGTTTCTTTTTCAATGGTGGACAAGCATTATGTGATTTCCCCAGATGACATAATAAGTAAATACTGCATAGGTTTAGCTTTAACAAACAACAAACTTTATTTATATACCGCTCTACCTCCCTGAGGGGACTCAGAGCAGTTTCCAAGTAACATCATCAATACATACAGAGTAAACAACATAAACATAAAATTAACAAAACAATATAAGCATAAAAGTCACAATAGCACATATATATTTAAAATAATCCTGCCTGTTCAGGGCTATTTAAAAAGGACGGGCCGAGGCTAGTGCAATTTCGAGAGGGCCCAGGAAATTAGTTGCAATGGTATAGCAGGCAACAGCAATAATAGGTATAGTCTATGGCTGTTCATTTCTGGGGCCTAATAGGAAGAAGTGACCTGGGTAATTGGTAGAAAAAGATATGGCAATATTCAACAATATCGGGGCTGAGCTAGGACTAGTCATTCTCAAAGGCTTGTTGAAACCACCAGGTCCTCAAGCTCCTACGAAAGGAGGGGAGGGATGGAGCCTGTCTTATTTAATGTTTCCACTTCCAAAGCTTACCTCACTCTGCTCACAAGAAAGGTTTGCTGAAGCATTTCCAACACCAACAGGTTTCACTTCTGCAATAAAAACATGAATGTTAGATTTCTAGAAGTGCAAGGGAGCAAAGAAGCAAACCTAAAGCTCTGGCAATACTTGTGAGAGGTCTGACTGGAAATAGGGGTGAGATCATAGATGAAATTCTCAGCAGAGAATGGGTTGGGGTTGTTCCTTAGAGAAACCAGAAAGTAAGGTGGTTGGAAACGGTCAGACTGGAGTCCTGGGAACATAACTTGATCCTTGCTGGAGTGATTTAATCGGGGAATGTTGATCCATGTCTCAGTGGATAACTCCAGGAAACACTGTGTTGCATTTGTGATGAGGCAAACTGAGGCCACCATTTTCCTCCTGATGAGGCTTCATGGTTTTTACAGTTGTATGAAACTACCAAACTCAACAGGCAAATCTTGTTTGTCTGCAACAACTCTGAGGAAAGACATATTTCCTTGGTTACCACTCAGTTTGGCATCTGAAGTACAGGACATTTTTATTGCAGGAAATATCACACTGACTAAGCAAATAAATGCCCTGGATAAGGAGAACTCTTCCTTTGTTTGCCTGTGGCAGTTGCCCTACTTATGGCAAATGACTCCTCTTGATTTCACATGTTCACCAACCGCAGCCTTCATTGAATGTGTCCTTGCACATCATTCTGCTACACCTGAACAAGCATACAGGGCAGAAACATGACCACGTTCCAGCTCATAGTGAACAAATAAGACAATACACAAGATTTCTATGTATGTATGTTAAAACTGGAGAGCGAAGAAAGTAGATAGAAGATAATAAATTCATTTGAAATGTAACGTTGGAGGAAAGTTCTATGGATACCATGTGCTTCCAAAAAGAGTCTGAGAGCAAATTAACACCGGTAGAAGCCAAAAGGACTAAACAGGATATATTGTGAGATAGCAAGATTCATTGGAAAAGATGGTGATATGTGGTAAAATTGTAACACAGCAGGGAAAGAGAAAGACTGCAGGTGGTTAGAATCAATTACAAAAACCATACTAATAATAATTAAAAAAATAAAACTTTATTTATATTCCGCTCTATCTCCCCAAAGGGACTCAGGGCAGATTCCAAACATAAAAGGCAAACATTCAATGCCTGAATACAACAACAATACATCCATACTAACAAAATTTATACAACCCAACATATAAATACAAATTAGAACTTAACAAACTAAAATTAAATAAAAAGCACAGCCTGTTATAACAGACATAAGATAAAACTTAAAACATCAAATGGAAACAATATTTTCCCATTTCTTTGGGGCAAATCGATTAGCTCTGAAAGTCCAGTGCCTAAGCAGGAGAGCCAATGATGGGGACTCTTGGAGATCTCTAATTCAAAGAGTTTGCTAAAAGTCAAAGTTAAATTGACAGTAAATATCAACAGCAACCTTCAGCATTCATTCAACATCTGATTAGCCTGAAGCAGTGGAAATTATTTTCAAATGTAGGAAAGTCATATACATTGCCTCTCTTTCTCCCCGGGATCCACGTGACACAGTATATGCTGTGTAGGCTACATATGTCCTAAGGGGGATTAACAAAGCCAAGAGCCCATGATTCTACATGTACAATGAGTCCTGTGTTGGAGCTTCACATACCTTCATCAGACTCCAGCACAAGCCTCTGACCAGAGATGGCGCTCACCTTCTCCTCCATATTCAGAGCATGGAGTTCACCAGCCTGCAGAAGGAAATCAGAGTTAGAAGTCTTAAAAAGCCACAATTAAAGGTTGAATAATTGCCATATGTAAGCCACCTTGAGTCCCCTTCAGGGTAGAGAAAGGCAGGGTATAAATAAGGTAAATAAATAAAGTCTCCCCATAAGGGTGGATATGATAGGATAATTCCACCTACAAACTGCTACGGAAGGCAGCTCCTGAACAAGATAGTGAATGGAAATATTCACATATTGTACATCTTCTAGCTTCTTCACAAAGAAGTATTAATGGGCTCTGAGATCCTGGAAATCCTTCTGGAGAACATCTAGATAGACATTCAATGGGCAACAAGAAGCTATGAAGTCTGGTCAGCAATTTCTCTTAGCTGTCCTTCAATTAATTAGAAGGCAAAACAATGCCCCTAAAGCTGAACATGTGCTGAGTATAGTAAGGAGCAATATTAATGAGTGAAGCTTCATTAATAATAGCAATTCTACTGATTCCAGTGATAGAAACAGTGATAGTAAGGGGAGATATGCCCAGTTAAATGCGCAATTCCAGAGGTTAGCCAGAAGAGATAAGG